AGGCAGGTAGGCAGAATGGTTAGAGGAGATCAGGCAGGTAGGCAGGTGAGCAGTTAGGAGCCAGTGGTCCTGGATTGCGGGTTGGACATCCCCTGAGGGGTCCTGGATTGGGCAAGAACGCAGGGACCGCACTGGTGCATGATCGGGGCCGGGAAGGGATATGGGAGGTTGGCCAACAGGGGAGGTGGGGGGAACTGCAAGAGGGCTCCAGGGTCTGGATCGGCTGGACTCCAGCAGCAAGCTAACCTACTGGTCGGAGCATTTGCCCCCTGGTGATCAGTGCATGCCACAGTGAGTAAGTGAGCAGCCTTATCATTAGCATATTATTAGCATATTATGCTTTGATTGGTTGAATGGATGACTGGACGACCGGGCACTTAACATATTAAGTTTTTATTATATAGGATGCCTTGTATTGAAATTGCTCCCTGCTTGAAACTTGTTCAGTGTTGCCCATTCATATTTTATCAGAAGTTTTGCAAAGATATGCCCAGTTTTTTGGTGATATTGAAATGACGTAAGCATGGAGTGGAGGCTAATTTATTCAGCCCTACATACTATTGTTCTATTTTTAAGCAGAATTTATAAATTTTATTATAATTTATTGTTTATTTTATTTTCAAACATAAATAATTAACTTTTATAATTTCATTTTGTAATGAATCACCAAAATAAGTTATTTCTGCACTCAAATACATCTATGACCAGCAAGTCTTCCATACTGTGGTCTAATCCTGATTCCTGCTAAAAAAGTAGGATATTTCTTTGTTGCCACTTTATCAGAGGAAGCAAGGATGGATTTTTCACTTTTATTTTAATAATTTTTTTTCTTGATAGAGCACAACAGAGTATTGACTGTGAGCCCTTTCTAATGCTGAAGAAAGACAAGTCTTTTCTCTTTCTAATAAATCTGGCCCATGATCACGAGCATCCTTCTCCAGGAACACAGATCAACTAAATGCTAGAACTCAAAGGACATGGCTCTTACACTTCCTTTGCACCCCTTCCTCTCAACATTAGGCATGTTGCATAGCAAGAGATGATTCAATGAAAATCTTAAAATTTGGTTTGATTTATTAAGCACCAATTTGCATCTAATATTTTTAAGGGCAAGCCCTATATAAATGTATCATTTAGGACAATTAACACTGATGAAAACAATTATCATTTCAGGGTTGCATCTGACTAAACACCTGGATGAAAGTGGAATAGCCATTCATACATGTTTAGCACATAGTACCAAACACCTGGATAGGTAATTACTTTCTTTCACTTTTCACCTGGAATTAATACTCAGACTTAATTATCAGCAACAAATACAGAAAACAATAATAACTCGAAGGGAATAAAAGATACTTTTACCATTTAAGTCAGAATGTTTTACTTGTCAGAGATGAAGAGTGAGTTCCCTAAGATAATAGAAATAGCTACCATTTGTTGAATGCCTACTAAAAGCAAAACTCTTGAGTATGTTATTGTCCAATCCTCACAATATTTCTGCCTCCATTTTACAAATAATGAGATGAGGCTTTTGAACAGGTAACCAATTTATTGAAAGCCACAGCAGTATCTGAATCCAGACCACATTGCTTTTCTAGAGCAAGGCTCTGCCAAGTAGTGGTAGGAGTCCCAGCAAAATCTTCTAACCACCTCAGAATCTGCCATGACTGCTGTCTGAATCTATTCAGAGCTGCCAGATGGTTAAGGTAGCAAAACATCTGAAGATTAAACAATTGGCAATCCCAGATACTTTATAGTTTAGCTTTTACTTTTAAAGTATATGATTCAGTGGTTTTTAGTATAGTCACAATGTTGTGTAACCCTCATTACTGTTTACTTCCAGAACTTTTTCATTATTCCCAAAAGAAACTCTATACCCATTAATAGTGACTCCTCATTACCCCTTTCCAAACACTTTATGACCACTGATCTACTTTCTCTCTATTTACATATTTGTGTAATCTGTACTTTTTGTGTAAATGGACTCACTCAATATGTATGTGGCCTCTTGCATCTGTTTTCTCTTCCTTCGCATAATATTTTCAAGGCACATCAATGTTGTAGCAAAGATCAGTACTTCATTTCCTTTCTTTTGTTTTCTAAAATTAAATTCATTGGGGTGACATTGGTTAATAAGATCATATAGGTTTCAAGTGTAAATTTCTAAGACACATGCATAATCTGCATATTGTGATGTGTGACCACCGCCCACGGTCAAATCGCCTTCTGTCGCCATATATTTGGTCTCCCTTTTCCTTTACTACTGTCCCCCACCCTCGTCCCTCTGGTAACCACCGTACTATTGTCTGCATTTAAGGGGTTTCAGTTTTATATCCCTCATAGGAGTGAAATTGCATGGTTCTTAGCTTTTCTGACTGACTTATTTTGCTTAGCTAATATTCTAAAGGTCCATCCATGTTGTCCCAATAGCAGTATTTCATCTTTTCTTATGGCTACATAGTATTCCATTGTATATATGTACCACACCTTCTTTATCCAATACTTTATCAAATGATACTTTGGTTGTCTCTATGTCTTGGCCACTGTGGATAATGCTGCAATGAACATAGGAGCGCATACATCGATGTTTTCAAGTTTTTCAGGTAGATCCTCAGAAGAAGGACAGCTGGGCCATATGGTAACTCTATTCTTAATTTTTTGAGACAATGTCATACTGTTTTCCATAGTGGCTGTACCAGTTTACTTTCCCACCAGTGGTGAATGAGGGTTCTTTCTCTCCACAATCTCTCCGACACTTGTTATTAGCTGTCTTGTTGATAATAGCCATGCTAACAGGTGTGAGGTGGCATCTCATTGTAGTTTTGATTTTCCTAATGGCTAGTGAAGGTGAGCATCTTTTAATATATTTGTTGGTAATTTGTATGTCTTTTTGGGAGAGGTGTCTGTTCCAAAGCTCAAGTCTATTCTAGAAAGAAAGCCATAATTATTTATAAGTAATACAGATTACTTATTCTGAAAATTATTGCAGATGAAGTTTTTTAAAAACAGATTAAAAGAATTATTGAAATGATATTTATATAATAAAATCAAACCTTTTTAAATAAACAATTCTTTGGCATTGAGTACATTCACACCCCTATCTAGTACCAAAACATTTCCATCATTCTAAAATAAAACTCCCTGTCCATTAAGCACTTTCTCCTCATTTCCCCCTCCTGCATAGTCTGGCAAAAATGAATCTGCCTTCTATCTCTATGGATTTACCTATTCTGGATATTTCACATAAATGAAATCATACAATACTATTCTGTGTTTGGTTTCTTTCAGTTAGCATGTTTTCAAAGTTTATACCTCAGCATTTATCAGTACGTCATACCTCTTTGTGGCTGGATAATAGTCCATTGTATGTGTATATGGCAATTTGTTTATCCATTCATCCTTTGATGGGGCTTTGGGTTGCTTCTGCCCTTTGCCTACTGTGAACAGTGCTGCTATGAACATCCTTGTCTATGTATCTGATTGAGAACCTGTTTATAATTCTTTTGAGTATCTATCCAGGAGTGGAATTGTTGGATTATATGGTAATTCTATGTTTAACTTTTTGAGGCGCTCCCAAACTGTTTGCCACAGCAGCTGAACCATTTTACATCCCCACCAGCAATGTGTGAGGGTTCCAATTTATCCACATTCTCGCCAACACGTCCTTTCCTTCCTTTTTCAAGTAGCCATCTTCATAGGTGTGAGTTGGTACTTCAGTGTGGCTTTAATTTGCATTTTCCCGATGACTAAGGATGCTGAGAATTTTTTCATGTGCCTGATGGCCACTTGTAGATCTTCTTTGGAGAAATATCTATTCAAAACCTTTGCCCATTTTAAAATTGTGTGGTTGAATACTTTATTATTCTAGATAATGGGACTCTACAAATAAAGTTAAAAATAAATATATATATATATACACACACACTTATACATGTATATGTATATTGTGCATACAAAAATACAAAATATGAATATAACATATAAAATCATTATTCAAAAATGAATAAAATCCTAATGAAAAAGTATACGTTTTAATGAATTACACGTTTACAATTGCATTTATTGTGTACTCATTTTCTGGGAAATATAACACGAGGTTCTGTGACTATTGATTAGCTATTTATAAGATTTACCACAAATTTTTAACACTTTGTTACTGATGAATTCCCAATATTTGGTAAGAAGAAATACCATGCGGAAGACTGTAAGTCTACGTCAAGAAACTGATACCAGGGTTTCTTATAGCAGGGTTCAGAAGATTATGTAAACAATATTTTATGGCTCCTGATGCTGTAACTTGAAAAAGTAAATAAAAGTACTCTGGATATTTTGAAAGTGCTTTGGCAACCTAGAGGCACACAAATTTCTTCTTCTTTTTTTTACAGAATACATTGACAGCCTCTAACTCAAAACAGGGAAGAGATACAAAATACTCATTTCACATGGAGTTAAAAATTTTTTACTTTTTGTTTTTCTAAAAAGCTAATCTGGAGGAATGAAAAAACCTCAGGTTTATACTTTCATTGTTCTTTATTTCTGGAGACTCTGCTTTGGCAGCCTGAGTGCTGTTGGCAAGGCGCAACCGAAGCCAAGTTGGGGACCATTCTTGTGTGATATCTTTGAAGCTCCCCCACCCCAAGCTGCCTCCTTCTGAATCTTCATGGCCATGGCGTAGGAGTTGGCAGGAGAACAGGTGTGGGAAGACACAGAGCAGGGGTAACATCAGAGAGAAGACATCGAGAAAAACTACTGATGAGCAGAGAAAAGGTGATGGGAAGACTGGAAAGCTAACGTTATTTTGAGCCTAGTCACGAATTGGATTTACATATTGGATAGCTTGCCTGTACACACACAATATTTTGCTGGGGCCAGAAGCAAGTTGCAAACCCTGCAGAAGTCGCTAAGTTATTGAGGGAGGCACAGAATTCTGTTTTCAAAGCCACCCTATACATATTTATTTAAGCAGTCACTTAATGCTACTTCATTAACTGTGCTTAAATTCTAATAATGGCTGATAAGAGCCTATTACCAGGGTTGTTTATTTATACAGACCTCTGTATTGAACATTTGATTAATGTTAGTAATAGGTGACAAAGCCATCTGGTAGGCATCCCACATACTCCTGGAGTAGCTGACCAATGGTGCTGCCCTTGTCACGTGGAGGTATGATGGTGCTAGGAACACCTGAACCTATGGAATCTCAAGTAAGTTTCCTATCTTGTACCTCATTTTCCTAATCAGAAGTACACATATTTTTATAAAAATATATTTTATTGATTTTTTAAAGAGCAGAAGGGAGAGAGATAGAGAGTTAGAAACATCATTGAGAGAGAAACATCGATCAGCTGACTCCTGCACACCTGCTACTGGAGATGTGCCCACAACCAAGATACATGCCCTTGACCAGAATCGAACCCTGGGACCTTTCAGTCTGCAGGCCAACACTCTCTCCGCTGAGCCAAACCAGTCAGGGCCACATATTTTTATTTACAATGTACAGAATTTGGATAATTAAATGAAACAATGTATATGGAGTCCTTGGTATATAACTGACATCCAAAATAGAAATGGATACCCACAGGTTAAGTCTGGCCCACAGATGTGTCTTATTTACTTGTATATTCGCTGCCAAGTGCTCAAAATTGAGGCTTTACATTTTAAAATCCAGTTTTTTTTTTATTTCTCTTGACAAAAACGAGGCCAGCAAACAATAGGCCCACTTTCCCACTCGGCAACGATTTGAACCAGTAGCTATCTCTTCAGTTGTGCTCACCAGCTTGCCGATGTCCCACCCTGAGGTTATGAGAGACCGTGCTGACACTTCCTTGGTTTGCTTCATTCATTCTGGGTGCCTCACTGGCCTCAGCAGTTGTTTGAGATTGGGAACTGTATGCTAAGGCATCTGTTACATTTTCCCAATACAAGATTCTAAACCTTTAATTAATTCATATAAAATCAATCTCATTAAGGAAGATGGTAGATAGTGATGGTGATGACAGTTATTTTGAGTATCTATCTATCTATCTATCTATCTATCTATCTATCTCCTCATGGCTTATTTTTGATGATTCTAAGTTTATAATCTGCATTTAAAAGAACCAGCCAACCAAAGTTTCAGGGTCTGAACGTATGGCCGACCTTTTCCTTAAACAGTGTAAAGCATGGTATCATTGTTTTATAATGTAAATATAACCATTAGTACTTAAAATATATTAAGTGAAATATATTTTTTAAAATGCTGTGTGTTTTTTTTTTAAATAAACGCTGCTAGAATAACCAGTATTATTCTGGAGGTTTAGCTGACCTTTTCCCATCTGAACATTTTTGCAAAACATTCTCAGTTGCGGTGTCCTGACGATTCACCCAGAGGCAGTAAGAATTAGTGGTAGGACAGTACAGTGGGCTGTGTTCTCACGTCCTAACCAAAATCATTTTTGTTGAAAGACCAACCTCTTTTAGATTTCTGTCTAAGATTCATATCCTCCCTAACCCCATTCTCCTGGCTGTGGGTTACCTGCTGTTCAGGGATTTTTTCTCTCTGTTTGCTTTAAGGGGGAAACAGCAAGTTTCTATTACATACTAATTTCCAGAAAGGGTGAGATAGATGTCTCCACTGTGAGATCACACATAAATATTCCAGTTTTATGCCTCCCCCCCGGCCCCTGTGCACAGAAGATGGAAATAGAGTCAGCACATATTTATCAAGCTCCTAACATCTTATCCCAGGACTGTCTAGTCTAGACCCTGGGTGCAGAGATTTGAAAAGACAGAGGGTCACTGTTCATAGGGAGCTTATATTTGAATGAAAGAAATAGGTAACAAATAAGCACACACATAAGTAAAATAACTTCTGATGCTCATAAGTGATATCAAGAAAACAGTGAGATAATATGGTTGGAAATCTCTGGATGCGGTAGAATACAGTGAGCAGAGAAGTCCCCTCTAAGGTGGTCATGCAGAGAGAGAGAGAGAGAGAGAGAGAGAGAGAGAGAGAGAGAGAGAAAGGAGGCTGAGAGAGAGAGAGAAAGGAGGCTGGTGTGGCTGGCTTTGGGAGAGTGGTGGAGATCCTCGCCCCTCAACCACACATTTCCCTGGCTGGCTGTCCTCCCCAAAGGTGCTGCCATCACTATTATCAAATATTTGACTCTTCAAACAGGTATCAAGGATGGACAACTTATTCAAGATAAAGTACCAAGGTTGATGAGCTTCCTTGGGCACTCACAACTTCTAGATTGGTTATTCCTAAAAGGCCCCATTCTTTCAGAAAAAGATAAAGATTAATTTTTAATTGGATTGATGATCCTGGTACGTAAGCTACATTCACTGATTTGGAAAAGAAACTATTGGCTTCTGAATCAGACTATTAATTTCTTGAGAATTAATTTATTGAACATAAAGTTTAAGTTTAAGTAATGAACATACTAACTTAAAAGTGGTTTACTTTATGTATGTAGCAAACCCTTACAAAATACTTACCATATGCCAAACACTGTTAGCTCTACAAATAACAACTAATTTATAAGCTATCTTGTATACTATTTAAAAAGGAACAAATTGCAATATTGGAAAGTATTACTTTAGTCTTCTGAAAAAAACACAAGCGAGACACATTGTTTCCTGTTAGTATGCATATAAAGTACTCGTATATATTAAAGCATCATCACTTTTTATCATCTCTTAAAACTGAAAACTTAGCTTAGTTCTAGTGTGATATAGGCAACTTTTATGACATATCTAAAATATCTATGCCCATTAATATCTAAAAAGATGTTTTAATAACAAACTGAAGACGTGTGAATGGATAGTAGTTTTTTAACAAGTAGTTTTTATATCTTTTTAAATGTTTCATTAAGACATTTATCTAAAAAATTCACCTTATGTAGCAGTTAAAAAAATTACTGCCCCCAATAATTAATGGCTAGTAAAGATGTTCCCTTTTTTTCTTGTCAATTAAAAGCAATTAGGAGAGAAGGAAAATGAGTTGTCAAACCATTGTGGCATGAACCTGGCCTAATTACCGCTCTCTCTTACTCACAGGAAACAGACTTTATAACCACTGAGTGCAGAATGGAATGCTGTACCAATGAATCTTTGTGAAAACAGATACTGTCAAAGCAATTTTTTAAAGTAAAGTAAATAATGGAGTATTAATTAGAGGCTAATAGACTGATATCATATTGCTCTAACTTGCCAAAGACATTACCTGTTTGTCAAAAAAGAACTGTTTGTGGCCAGCATTTGAAGCTGCAAGCCAGTAATCTGAGCAGGTGGTCATTAGCGACGTCTGCCAGAGGCCAGATCATTTTCTCCATGAGTAGCTTGGTAAGGTTCAGGCACTTATTTCTCCCTGAATCAGCAATTATTCCACTTCCAATTGCCGAGGTACCTGTCCCTAATGCCAAGGAAGAGTTTGAGTATTTCTCCTTCATAAGCTGAGATTGATTTACTGTGTTCAGAATTTCTTTATCTGTTTTATTGGGTAAACTCAAAATATCTGCTCTACTGGATAAATTTCAGTGATCTGGTAAGTGCCTCTTTTCTTCTCTACAAACAGCATATTTGAAAACATTGTTTTGGTAGAATCTTCCCAGAAGACCACATAATCACTATTCAAATTAGCCCTAATTCATTTTACATTTGCTTATTTTACTGTTAACTTTCCCAGAACTGTATTTTTTGTTTTACAATTAGAACATCTGAATTTTAATTACATTACCATCAAGAAGCTCATTAAAGTCACTTAATTGGCAACATTTCCAAAAAAACCTTAGCTGGGTTTAATATATTTTAAAGAGTTACTGTCAAAGTATAATTTCACCATTACAAACAGCTTGGCAACAACATTTGCATAAAGATCTGTCAGTTTCTGAAAAATGCTCAAATGTTGGGAAAATCAGATTCGTTAAGTCGCCTTTACTGAAACAGTCCGGAAATGGAGAAATTGTCACATAAGTCATCTTTGTAACCTCTGCAGTGTGCAGAGCACTGCCATGCACGGCACAGATATTCAAAAGAGCTTTCGTGAAGAAATAAATCATTCATTTTATATTTTGGGGGTAGATTTTTAAAAAGTTAAAACCTCAAAAAAGTTTCTTCATTTGTGTTTAATAAAATATTAATTTTCTTGCTGCTTCTTTCTCATTTACTCTGAGAAATATTATTTTTTTAAAAAAAATGAGCTGGCCTAGTGTGGCTCAGTTGGTTGAGTATCATCTTGTGCACTGAAAGGTTGCCAGTTAGATTCCAAGTCAGGACACATACCAAGGTTGCAGGTTCAGTCCCAGTTGGGGTGGAGAGAGGCACCCGATTGATGTTTTTCTCTCTCTCTCCCTTGCTCTCTCTCAGAAAAATCAATGAAAACATTAAAAAAAGAGAAATATTAAATGGTCACTTAGAATTTTGAAACCTTTAAAAATATCTCTAAAGTCAGCATTGTGAGACTAAGAGATGAGATTATTTTGAGATGGCATAATATATTATAGTTTCCTTCTTACACATACTAGAATCCCATCCCTACAGTACTGATCTCATTTGAACTTGATTGTAGTTACATTCATTTCTCACTTTTACAAGACTAGTCGCTCCTGCCTTTAAGACAGGCATCCTCTCTAATATACTGGTCTATTTCGGGAGGATGGGGGTCCTGAAATAGTGGCTTGCAATGTCATTTGTCAAATAAATGAATGAAAATCTGAAGTTTGTCATATATGAAGGATAACTGAGCATTCATTAGGGTGTTGGGGCACTCTTCACCCCAAACTTCATGTGCAAGAATAAAATGTGATCAAAGGTAGTTACTGCAATTTGCTTCCTACAAATATAAAAGGTAAGATGTTCTTCAATCATCCCTTTTACTTTGGTATTTTCTACTAAAACCTTTCCCTCTGTGGTTTGCGTACCTTTTATCTTCCAAGCCAAAAGAAGAATTTAGCAAAGCTCTACAAAATGTGAACATTCAAAAAACAACAACAACAAAAAACCACCCAAAACATTGTCTCTCAAGTTGCTACCTTACTCTCTGCGGTAGCCTCAACGTCCTGCAGAGTGTCTGATACGTAGACAGACTCAATGCATGTTTGTTGACTAAGTGAGTAAATACACAAACACACGCTGACAGGCCTGAGGAGCATCCGGATGGTTCTGCCGGAGGGGCTCAGGGAAGGCTGCTTCGACAGAAATGTAGGAAACCTGAGTCCCCGAGCACAGAGGCGTTCACTCACTCATCATTGGTGAGCTCCTGTCCTTGGCTACGGTCTGTGAAGACTCCCCCAGGACAGCACCATCCAATCGAAGTTTTGTGATGATGGCAGCAGTCTACATCGGATACCTCCACTACCATGTGGTGGACCCTGGAGGGTCCTACATGAGAAAATGACACAATTAGATTTGCCTTTCAGACATTGCCTCTGTGACAGTGGGAACGAAGGTCTGAGGTGAAGAGGACTTACTGCGTGGTGACACCAAATGCATATCCCACCACGGCAGAAAATAAGTGGGAGGAACAAGACTGTCTATTACTTTTGATTGTCCTGTTGTCTCTAACTGATGCTTTCTCTCCTCTCCCTGGCTGGAGAGAGTGCATGATGAGGAAATGATGAGTCAATCTTGTGGGCTTGCTTCAGAGGCTGCTCCACGCAGAACAGGAAGTGAAGGTATTAGCTTCTCTCTGACCCTCAGGGCACCTGCAGCTGCTATGGAGGAAGGAGGCACTGGCCAGCCCTGAATCTGTGAGGGTGCTGTCCAGGCTCCCTAACCACCACAAAGTACCTGAGGGCTGAGATGGGACCATCTGGCATGAGTGGGAGGCATGCTTTCAGAACACAGTGGTGGTAAGAGTGCTGGACTAAGAAATCTGGAAACTCTAGAGGAGTCTGTTCTCTGACCTTCGAGACCCCTTCCTTCTCAATGTTCTATGTCTGTGTTGGTTCTTCTGGCTACAACACATGAGAGAAGGCCTGAGGGTCTTCTACCTGCAATTGGGAAGAATCAAGCTAGGTGTGGGGAGACAGCATCCAGGGCAATCAGTGCTGGCAATGAAAGATGGCAATGAAGAGTGCCCGAGGCACCGGCTGCACGGACACTTCCAACATTCAGTGAAGAAGTAGCTTCTGCTGACCTGGCGTGGCTCTCTGTCATTCCGTGGCAATCACCGAGATGGCGAGCTGCCCACGCACTTCTCATTGACGGGGACAGTTCCTGGCAGAGCTCTGCCTTTGCGATTTCAGTCATTATGGCTTTATTTTTCCCTGTTTCAGAATGAACTCTATAGCGTAGAAGTCAAACCCCAGAAAATCTCATCGACAGAACATTTTTCCTTTTCAGCTCTTGATGTCCATTTTATTTAGTTTTGGGGTTCGTTTAGGATGGTGTGGTTTAGCAATCTGAAGGCAGTTACTATGGCTAATTCAAAAAAAGGATACCAAATAGGTATGTTTCTCATTTTGAAGCATCTCTTAAAAGGAGCCCGAACGCAAAATTCTGACTATGCTCCTGGCAATGATGAAGAAGTCTTCTGGGAGACATGCAATAAACATTCCCTGGAGGGAGAGCATAGCTGCAACATCGGAGTTCCTCTCCCAGTGCCTCTCTGACTGATCTCTGCCCAATGCCATTGGGTGCTCTGAGCCAGCGCTAGAGTTCTCATTACAAAACACCCCACTCTGCCCTGGATCCTCCTCCATCACAACCAGCCACCCTGAGAGTACTCACGCCCTTTCCTAGCAGAATCCCTTGTTTTCTTCCATAGAGACTGGAACCTGAAATCACTGAACACAGACAAGATAATAGCATCGGAACTTCTGACTTTATTTTTCCCCCAAACAGGTGATACAATACTCTGTCTGAAGCAAAAGGCCCGGCTCCCTTTCCTCTCCTTCCACAGAGTAACAGAGAAATGTAAACAATATTTCCATTGAACCCCCGAGTCCACCTAATTTTTGGCCCGTCTTTCGAACAACATTCACTTGTTTGTTTATACCAACACTTAACAGCATAAAGAGTAACACAAGCAAACAGTCGGAGGCGTTTATCTGACGTGTTCAGATGGTGATACAGGCTTGTATCGGCACCGTGTTCAGTCTGACAAAGAGAAGCATTGCTTCAGGAAGTGGGTCATGTGGGTGTACAGGTGCTTTATGGATAGGCCGGATATGCCATGGTTCTGGTCAGAGTACCACTGAAACACAAAAGGAAGAAGCCGCCTTATTCCTGCAGCCACGCAATGCTGTGACCTTTTCAGGCTCTAGTCTAGGACCTGGCTAACTTTTCTAATATTTTAGTTGAAATTCTACCTAAGAGCACTCGAATACACAAATGGAAGCATTTGGAGTGGAACGATTGAAAGGTCTGTTAACCTTCGCTACAGTTTTGTCTACTTTAAACTATAGTTTAGATCTCTGTGGCTAAGCGTTGCCAATGGCCAGCGCCCCGGGGTCAGGAGGCCCGGGTCCCAGAGCTCAGGTGCTGGGTCCATTGCTTTGCTTGTCTGGAGCTTGGTTTCCTCATTTGTAAAATGAGAGGCTTGGATCTGATTTTCCCTCAAGTTCCTTCGAGCGCAGACATCCCATGAGGCTTTTAGTCTCTGACTCTAATTCCTCTCTGTGGCAGAAAAGCCACTACACGTATCAACATAAACATCCTTTATAGGAGTTAAAAAGCGTATCATTTTAAAAACCAGAAATATGATGCCATAGGTTTAAACTTTGTTGTAGGAGAGATGTTGGTAAGATTATTGTTTTCACTAAATAAAAGCAGCTAGCGGTCGTGATGTAACACTATGAACTTATAAATTGAATTTACCTTGGGAGGTGACAATAAAAAAAATAAAACAACTAGCCCAGCCAATGTGGCTCAGTGGTTGAGCATTGACCTCTGAATCAGGAGGTCATGGTTTGATTCCCGATCAGGGCACATGCCCAGAGATCAGGCTTGCTCCCCAGTGTGGGGCATGCAGCAGGCAGCCGATCAATGATTATCTCTCATCATTGATGTTTTTATCTATCCCTCTCTCTTTTCCTCTGAAATCAATAAAAATATATTTTAAAAAAAAGACTGGGAAAAATCTCACCTCACCTTTAGTACATTATTAAAAAAACCCACACACAACAAATTTCCAAAAGGTGGGGGTTTCCTTTTCTGGATTCTGTTCAATATAAGCAAGTGAGGAATAATTTAGGCTTCCTAAGAGGGGGAAGGATAGGCATTAGGGATTGTCTGTCTTGCGTTGGTTTTTATTTTATTTTCCTCTGTATTCATTTCCCATTCTTCATTTTACAATTTTAAAATCCAAAACCTGGATTTTACAATGAGCTCATTCGGTCCTTCACTCAGTGAAAAGGGAGTCCTGTGTTGGCCACATATGTGCCAGGGGCTGAGGACACATGGAAGAAAAGACCCTCTAATGAGTGGAGCGGCATGACTTCAGGGAGCCTCGGCATGTCTGATAACTTCCTGCGCTTGCTTCTTACAGAATAAACAGAATCTTCTAGCTGCTTTGGGACTCCCGGGTTTTGCAGGGACTCCTGGCATATACGATCACAAAACTATTGGGTGTGTGAGCTAGATAATCTAATCTTGTGGACGCCTTTATTTTATACAGGGCTCAACCGGGACCACCAGAGGGGCCAGGACTTGCCTAGTGTCCTTCAGGGAGTTAACAAAAGATCAAGATTCATTTGTTAATGTTATGCCTACTCTACCCTTCCGCCTGTTTGCCAGGTTTTGTAAAAAAAAAAAAACAAAAAAAAAAAAAAAAACAAACAAACAAAAAAACATTAAGGATTTAAAGGTAAGATTCTTCCTTTTAGCTTAGGGGTCTAAGGCCATG